AGTCAGCAGACCTCCCTATCTGGAAGCCAATGAACTACCTTCGGCGAGAGAACCCAGCGTTTGCCAATGGCCCCTCTACAACAATACAAGGCTACTGTAGCATTCTTAACTCTTTCTTCTACGTTAGGCTTCCAGGCAAGCCGACAATTCGGTATCTTGTACCTTCTAGTAAAAAGAACAAGCTCTGTTTTACTGTGGTTTACTCCCAGTCCGCGGCTAGAAGCCCAGTTCTCAACCAAACCCAGATAGCCCTGCATAAGTTCAAACATTGTTTCCAGAAACTTTCCTTTTGTTATGAATGCTATATTATCAGCATAGGCAACCACCCGACAGCTACTTCTTTCCAGAGCCACCCACAAGTCGTTGACGACAGCGACCTAAAGCAACGGTGAGAGAACTCCCCAATGCGGGGTGATTCTACTCACATATCCCCGGATTGAAGCGCTGCCCCACTCTGTTGCGACAGTTCTGTTCCAAAGCAAGCGCTAAATAAACATGACAAGGTCGCCTCCGACGCCTAGCTTATTTAGGCAGTTAATTACAGCCTCAGGCAAAACATTATTAAAAGCTCCCTGGATATCAAGGAAGGCACCGGCCGCGAATTCCTTCTGCAAAAACGTCTGCTTAGTGCTCTCAACGACTATGTGTAGGGCCGTTTCTATAGACTTGCTATTTCCTGAAATCCATTGGTGATACATGAGAGGCTATAACCGCTTTGGGAATGAACACAACTCTGACCAAACTCGAAGGCCCCGGAACATTACCCCTAGCCAAACATCTCTCGAAAACAGGTATCAACTAGCGGCACGACACCTCCGAAGACTTCTGCAGTTCGGCTGGTCGTCTGTGCTCGGGGCCTTAAATGGATTGAAAGAGCCAACGGCCCAAATAATTTTATCCTCCGTCAGAAGTTTCGGAGCTTATAGCCTCCCAACGGATCCCTGTGGGATTCGAAGAGACTCCTCGCTGCTCATCGCCAGTTACCATTCTCTTCCTTGAACGTGATTCTCAGAGATAACTCGCCTAAATCTCGAACACTCCTGACTGCCCTCCACACTTTCACAGAAGAGTATCCACCAAGTTCGCTTCGCTTTCCTAATCTTGGACTTATATATCCCAAGTCTAATCTTATACAGTACTCAGTCGGAGGGCGATTTACTCTTCCTGGCGTTGTTGAAAGGGCCTCTGCTCGAGGCCCTAAGGTTGGGCTCTTACCTTTGTGGTGACACAGGGGACAAGAGATTTCAACGGCTCTTTTACACGAACTGGTGAACACACCAATTAATTCGTCAATTGAACTTTCAGTCAAGGTCCCGCCACTCGCGGGTGCAATCGAAAGAATTTCCAGCAGACTTCTGCAGTCGAAGTCCCAGTTGAATCTCCTCAGATTCCTCTAAGGATTTTGCTTATGACGCGCTTCGTCCAAAGTGAATGGTAACTTAACAAAAGCTTTCACTGCAATTTCTCTTGCCCACTTAAGCGGTGGCTACTGTATGAAGAATATGTTTGTTCTCATTGTTCGAAGTGACTTGGTTTGGTGTCAACGTCTATGTTATTGCTATTGTTTTACCCATACATACAACCCCTTTTTCCTTTGAATGATTTTTTTTCTAATTTTATGCGTAGAGCTCGTTCTCTTTGACTGCATTTCTCAAGGTACCAAGTACTATTTATCAACATTCACTTATTTGTATGTATGTATGTAAATACCGACATATGGACATACATATTCATGTATATCAGAATGAACATACTATCTCGCATTTGTATTTTTTTTTTTTTGAATATGCAAATCTGAGGAGCAAGAAAATTATTTATATATTTAAGTATTTGGAACATCTGTGTGGTCATCAACACCTGGCCTACGTACTGTTGTATATTTTTGATATGAAGTTCACTTAAAAATCGGCTATTGTTATCTACATAAATACTAAAAAGTATGTAGGAAGGTCCTTAATATATCAACACCATGGGGCACCCACTTATTTTGTTCTACGTACAAAAGAAAGATATCCAAGATAATTTCAAGATTTACAAAAAATTCGCGGGGGTTTAAAAAAATTAAATTTTTAGAATTTATATGAATAAGTTTCAAAAGTGAGTTACATTCATTATATTTAAAACAAAATTTAAAAAAATTTTTGAGATAAAATTTTTTTTTCAACCCATAAACAATTGTTTAATTTCGTGGATGTCTTTAATCTGTACGTAGAATAAAATAAAGGAGTTCGCCATACAAAATTTAGATATTGATATACATATTTAAGGGTCACCCTAATACATATTTATGTGCATTATACTGCATCACTCCCCATACAAAAAAAAATCGGTACTGTTTTTCCATTGGAATTATAAAATCTATTATATTTTAAGACGTCCACCAAAATATTTCGGAAAAATATTAAGATTTAAGCGAGCTGGACCGATTTGAAAATACCTTCAAAAATGGAGCTTTTTTATGAATAAAAATAGTTTCTCAAAGATGTTTTTTGAAAAAATCCGCTCAAATGACAATGACAAAACGGTTTAAGTTTTAAAAAATTTATATAAAAATATTAAAAAAAAAATAAAAAAAATTTTTAACGGAATCGTAATAATAAGATTTTTGATGATGTTTTTTAACTTAACTATTTTTTTTGTAAGACGATTTCGAAAAAAATATATTTTTCTTTTTGGCCGAACAAAATATGTTTATAAAGGCGACCCAAGGTTCTTCAAAAAAATCGAAATACTTCTTTGCCAAAAGGTTAATAATTTTGGAGGCACTGTAGTTTACAGACATTAGGGCGGAACGTTAAGGTAATAAGAACTGAGATCTGGTGTGTAAGTACTAGAATGGGGTACTTGCGGTCAGTGAATCTTGATTTAAGATCCGACAGCAAGCTGGAACACCAACGGCAATGGGGCTTTTGCACGAGGCGATTTTTCGGGCAACTTTTGCTTTCAACTCACGCAGGGTTGCACGAAAAAAATTAAATGGCTAAAAATATCAAAATATAAAAAAATATCAAAATATTCGCCATAAAAAGGCGTTTGCATTGTTCAACTTTGCATTCTACTTTTGGTTGAACGGCTTTCAACTAATCGCTTTCAACAAAGTTGGTCGCCAGCCAACATTTAGCCATTCAACTTTCTTTTCGTGCAACCCTGCGTGAGTTGACGCAAAATTGCCTCGTGCGAACACCTTTTAAGAAATGGAGAAGAGAGTGAGTACTCGAGACGGAACGGGCAACCAACATCCAAGCTGTCATCGGGACCCAAAATGTGTCGGCCGCATCACAACCAGCCAGCACCATGGTCAACTACTAACAGGCTGACCACATGGCTGAGAAGCGCAGCAGGTAAGCTTGAGGGATGGAAATGGGCTGCCCTGAGTAGCGCAGACAAATATCCCGTCTATGCTGTCGAGCTGCTGAAAGCTCAAAATGAGGGACTCATTTCCTAAAGGCGAACTGACGAAGACTCATTCAAGAGGGTCAATCGGGACGGCTTTACGCTGAAATATATTTAGATCCAGCAGCGTCAAGATAATACCCTGGAGACTGAAATACGCTAGGCAGAATGTTGCACTAGGTTAGGTTGAAGTGGCTGCCACTAGCACACCGTTGTGATACCACGCGTATCGAGTCTGCAAAACCTAAAAGTTGTCGTGTTCCTATTTACTTTTGCTATGTCGGTTAAACCTTCGAAAAATTCCGAATCGAAGAACTTTCGTATTTTTTTTTTTTGCAAAGTGCGGTACATTCATATATCAGCTAGCGGTAAGGATTCTGGCTTTTCGGCATCTCTGCAGCTTTTGTAGAAGTCGTTGCGGGGAACCCCAACCGTAAATATCCGTGTGCCGCCCGATGGTAATATGACCTGTTATTAAGACCTCTCTGCTCAGCATGAGGAGACCCTTCGACCACTTTTCTTTGCATTTTGGGCACATAAGCTTTGTATTGTTGCAAGTAGTGAGACTATTCCACCTGTCCTTTGTTGGTTTAAGAGATAAATTCCTTAGAAAGAACTACCTACTACCTAAGCAAGCGGCATGGCTAAACCCTTCCAGGTCGGTGAAAGTGCAAGTTCATCTGCCTTTTCTTTGCCTGGTAGGTTTCGGTAACTCGGCGCCCATACGGTGATCGAGTCAAGCACTTTAAGTGCCGCCTGACTGTTCGTGCCGATGAAGATATTATTACACACGAATTCTCCTGTACGTAAGTGGCCAACCGCCTCCTGCATGGCAGCGACTTCAGCTCGGAAGCCACTGCAATAGTCGGGTTTGCGAAATGATTTATCCAGGCTCAACTGGCTGCTTTCTAGTTTAGAGCCAGTTTAGAGAGTATTGCAGTTCCTTGCACATTTTAAAGTGGTTCTTTTGTTAATTTCATGTTTGATTTGAGACTAGGAAGAAAGTTAACGCAGTTCTGGTCCAAACTCAGAGTAGCATCACCTCCCTGGGAAGATTGTGGGGATAGACAGGCAAATGTTTGAGCTAGACAGCAGACAAGTTGCTGGTTCCTTTTCTCACGGATCCTGTGCCTATATTCGCGTCGGATTACCGAGCTACTATAGAACGCTACACATCTTTATAGCTTTCGCTTCAATTTCAGCACGAGTTCCACGATCCTTAAACAATTAGGTTTTCCTGCTGGGTTATTTTACTCTTGCATACATTTTAAAATTCAAGACGATCTACCACCTTTGAGTGCAACATTCTTAGCTTGCAACACAAGTGCAGTGCCAAGCTCATGAAACGCTAATTAAATACCACATTAAAGAAGTCAAAGTAACAAATTCTTTAGATGCCATAAAAAAAGCTGACTTAACAATCACCGAAACGGCTAAAAAATACTTACTAAGCCATAAGCGATTGAAGCCACATAAACTATATAGCTAGCGGCAAAAAA